CGGGGCCCGGCAGCCATTGCTGAGGGAGAGAGAGATAGAGAGGGGCACCCGCTCCACTTCACACGTAAAGTAGAGCTTTTAATTTAATGCTTTTCTCTCTGCCCGGCACCGAAATACTCCCTCCGGGAGCAGAGTAGCCCGCGCTCCCGAGCCCCCAGTAGAGCAAAGCTGACCTCAAAACGTACTGCACTGCCCTTCCCCTCAGCCCCTCAGGGAGGGAGGAAACCCGTGTAACCCAAGTGTGGTTGCTCAGAGCAGGAACCAGCTCCGCTTCCATCAGTAACGCTGCCCTTGAGGCGCTCACTCTCGTGTCCTACGGGAAGGGAAGAGAACCACAGCGCACATCTGCCTGTAAGTTTTATTTACACAGGAATTGTTACTAGTGGTCTTAAAGGAAGGCTTGATCCTTCTATTTACAGTTATATACAGATTTATAGTTGAAAAGTAAGAAAACTGTACAAGATAACACAAAAATATAAGACAAATTAGGTCCAATTAAAGTAGTGAATACATAAGTTAAGAAAAATCTGACATTTACATTTCAAATTGTAATGTTATGAGTAGCATATATGTAGTTTTTAAACCAGATAGCAACGTAAGTTACACCACACTAAATCTTTACCCCAATTATGTAGACTCTGCTTTTAAACACCAGACAACTGAAAGCCTCCTGCACTTAAAAATACATAATGGTAATTCTGATTTCCACAGAATGGACTTGATTTCCACAGAGGGACCAGTTACAAAAACCCACATGTAAGGAATTTATTTACATTAAATATTAGCAAAAATGGACCAAGAGAGTGCAAGTGTTCCTCACCTGCAGTGCTATCCATTTTAAATTTCCATCCCCTAAAAATCACAAGTTGTACAGCATCTTCAACACGAAATGTTTGAAAATATCTACCGTGACACATACAATATGAATTTATGTCTCACAGTTAACAGATGTTAAAGAATTAAGTATCACTAAACCAGATGCTTTTTGGATTTCAGTATTGCACACTAATAAAAGATCATTTCAAAAACAATTCTGTGTCTGCATTATTCTGAAGTGTTAAAAGTGGCTGCTCCTTTGACAACACAAAGTCTGCAGATAGCTTTATCAGTTTCTAGTGTTCACCATTACATACAAGTATTTCTTAGTTGGAAATGGCTCAACAAAAGGAAACTTCTGGTGGCAAAACCCTTTCACAGAATACCCACTCCATTTTTAATAAGCTGCACAACCAATGCACCAAAACAAATGCTTAACACCACTCGCTTTGAAAGCTGTACACTCTAAAAATAGCAGCCCTGATCTTACCACTGTTTAGAATTCAGATGATTTTGCTCTAACAGGTTTGGGCACAATACTTCCACAGTTCCTGAGTTAATTACATTTGCCCAGACTGAAGAATGAAGCTGCAACTTAAAAAAAAAACAAAAACAAAACAACACAAGTAAGAAAGACAATACCCCTTCCCAAATCTTAACCATCTTGCACATAAACACCAAACAACCGTATTTGGTCCTCAGTACTTTCAAATGGTTAATTTTGGAGGTAATATTTGTACCAAAGCATTTGGTTTGGATAGCAGTTTTGGGGCCTTAAGATTTAGCATTTCCCTCATCCCGCCCAAAAAGTGCCTTTGTGGTATTTGTAAAAAAAGTTATGCCTCAACATTTTTTTTTAAAGTACCAACAGAAGTTATTACAAATGTTTATTGCATTGAGCTGATACTTTTAAAGTATTAAATATGAACTCTCCCACTTCTCAGTTTCATAGGTTTTAGTATTCTGTGTGAAAACAAATCTTCCCACGACAAAAGCTAATACTGGCAAAAGGGTGAAGATTTCATCAGTTCGTTACTCCACTGAGAGTTGTGTCATTTTTCCACTTAATTTTCACATTTTCTATAGTGCTTTTCCACATAGAAGTCATGTGAAAACTCCTGTCATCAGGTGGTTTTCCACATATTCAACTGACCTCAGCATTACAATGATTAGCTTTTCAGTGCTGGGCTATGATTCTTATCTCCTTCTTTGTTGTCCTTCATCAGTGAGGCAAACACCTGAAAAAGTAAATTATTTAATGAATATAAAAAAAAGTTTCATAAAAAGTCAGTCTTATTAAAAAAAAGATCAATATTAACCACCACAGTTTTAGCATGGAGATTAATTTCTAGAATGAAACACTAGAAAGAAAGCACCCATTGCTCAGAAGTCAGACATGCAGCATAAAAAGCCATTAAGGGCCCCATATGCTCATGTGCTGACAGGTCTGTTTTGACATATATGTATAGATATCCAAAAAAACTCACCTGTGCCCATTTTTTGTTACTATTCTGCATCTGAATAGCTGCAATACAAGTAAAAAGCTTTTCTGATGTAATGTCTTCTGGAAGCTTTGTTAAAAACTGTGCTATATGAATAAAGTCCATCTGTAGGAGAATATCTTCATATAACCGAAGGATTCCTAATCCTGTCCTAAACAAAAATTCTTCTCCATCTCTACAGAAAACATCCCAGACACGACAGGCCAGATCAAGTGGTAATGACTTGCTGTAGAGTGTAAAAATCCTACAAATGAGGGGGGGGGAAGAAAGGTACAGTTATAACTTTAACCTATTTCAGAAATACGAAAATACAACCTCCTTTAAATCTCAGTTACGTTATCTGGGAGTGAGCAGATGACAAGTTATTTCACATTCTTATTTCCTCCATATTTTAAAGATCCATAAGTCTCCAGTTTTTGAAGTCAGAACTCCTATTCTGAAACCCTTCTCTTTTTATGCTACATGAAATCATCCATTTGAAAGGCTTCCTTTAGGAAGCTCTGCCTAGAGAAGTTACAAACATCTTTACACTCAAGCAGGGTATAATATACAAATAAGAACTTAAGCACAAAGACTGTAACTGTGTAACTTAACCCTTCCCATTATTTAAGCCATAGAGCTTAACAGCTCTGTTCATCATTTGATTTCTAAATTAAATCTAAAGCCACATATCATCTCAATAGAAGGCTACATCCCACTAATATATTAATGAAATTTCAAGGACTAAATTTCCACGATACATTTTGAATTTCTATTCATGTTAAAAATCACCAAAATCTAAAGACAGTCACTGATCTATTCATACTGGGAAGAGTGCTATTGCATTTCTCACTGCAAAGTTTATTTTTAAATAGCATTCATTATACATGGGCAGATAGTTCAGTCTGCTGTATGTACTGTATTGTAGAACCCCTCCCATAACTCTGTGGTGGTTCTGTTTCTCCATTACTCCTCTTGGGAAATGCTTCAGGAACCTCAGAACACTCCTTACCACAGACTTTCTCACAGGTAGCTGGAAGCAGAATATTGTAGCACTCTGTACAGCAGCACTGTTTCTGCGACATATATACCTCTCTCCATCTCCTTAAACTCTCAAGACTGCAGCACACTCCTGACACAACACTGCTACTGTATAACCTGCTCCTGTTGAGACTTACTCCTGCTTACTGATAAGCTGCATCTTATAGCTGCAGTTCAGATGACATGACTGTTTTATATTAGTTAATTCTACCCAATTCACCTTACTCTAATATAAACTTCTAACCCATATAATAATCCTATATAAAGCACATCCTTATCCCCACACACTTATGAATAGACATTCCATATCTGGCAGCACTAGACACACTTCGTGTGCTTGCATTACTGCCTTCCATTACAAGCACATAACGTAGTTTGATACTCTCCACTTTAGAACATTCGTTACTTCAAAATGTTCGCTGTATTTCCAATTCTATTCCTTCCCAAACCAGGTCGTAAGTTTCATCCTCCTGCTTTTAAACTTTATATTCCTATCATACTTTATTCAGTAGCTGATGATGCTCATTTCATCAAGTCACAACCAGTCATAAGCCAGCTACAGTGTAGTAGCCTCCTCTCTCCTATTTACGATGCACATAGCTGACTTATATGCAGCAACAAGAAAATGAGACACACAGGACTCCTGCATGTTTCATTTCTATCCGAATAGATGTCACTCCTAATCCCAGTTCATAAAGTTTGAATCCTGCCAGAGGATCTGAGTTGTCACAAAACAGTTCACCACAATTTCACAAGACCTAGAAAGCTGAGGTACATAAGCACCTACTGAATGCTTTTCTTATGCTGTCTTTCTACTGTTGAAAAACCTACAGCAAAAAGGAAGGTGCTATAACAGTTCTAAGGTTAGGTTTGCTGTGTTCTCTGCACTCACCAGTCTATCAAATATATGTCTGGGGTAAGACTGTATGACTTGAAATGAAGAAACAATTTGGGAAGGTTTTCTTCAAAAAATACTTCAAAGGCTGCAAAGTATTTCAGCATCTGTAGAAATAGTAAAGTACCTCATAAGCAGTCACCAAAAGAATGTTTAAAATAACATATACTCCACCAAGAATTGAGGATGTCAACATATCCTAGTAAGTCACATTGTGCTAAGTACAACAATTAAGTGTTTCTAGAGGAAAAACCAAAACAGTAGCCTCTGTTCTATGGATTAGTATCTGGTGTTCTCAGTTTTGTAACCACGGGTTAAAGTTCTCCATTATTATATAGAACAAAAAGGAAGTCATCAATACTTCAAAGGTCAAAAGAATGTTACGGTTTAAACCCAGAAAACTCTGTGCATACCATGCTGTGATCCACTCGGAAAAAGGCCAGTTGGCATGGCTTGTTTAGAAGGTTAGCAAAGGCAATGAAAGCATCTGCCTCTTCCAGATTGAGAATGAGCACAGCAGCAATGAAGGACATCCCTTGCACCTTTAAGTGGGAAAAGCATCGGGCAAATATAGGTGAGTAGGTTCAGTACACCTTATTTTTAGAAATGCAAATATTTTACAGTCTGCATATATCAAATACAATTGCGTAACATTTCCAGATGAACAGAAACAACACAGATAAATAATTTTATGCATGCGGTCAATCTGATTTCAGCAAGAAATTGTGTTTCTTCAGATGCAGGTTTTAGGTGCCTCATGGAAGTTCTGGGAGGTCACATGTTCACAAGTCCTCGGGACTTGGAATGCGAGAAAGTTAAAACCACACAGGCTGGATGCAGAGCTCATGAGACAGAACTTGGCCTCAAGTTCGTTGTTAAGCTAAGGCAAAAGCAGACATGAAGAAAAACCTCACATATGGGACAGTTTAGGCCCAGACAGATATGCTGGAATTCAGACAAAATTCTTGTTTCAGAACAGTCAATACATGTCTTTCCACTTGCCAAACAGTATTTGTTCACATACATAAAATTACTTTAAGTGGTTAGCTGCAATGCAAGTTTACATTTTCCATGATTACTCTCTCTCAAAAAACACTTCAGCCTGCAATAAAAGTGAAAAACATTTATTCTTGTAGTTGTTCACTGATGATCTGAATACTCATTACACTAAAAATAATTTTACCAATTTCAACTGCAATTATGATTATTCTGGCATTTATGCTGCCTGCTCCTTCAAAAAAAAAAAATGCACTCATTATTTAAACCAACTAGGGAAAAGAGTATTGACATGCATCAGAAATAGTCCAGCAGCTTTCCATTTTTGTGGGATAGATTACATTAAATTTACTGCCATATTAACATTTAAAAAAAAAAATCTATGATCATAAATATGCAGTCTAGCTGTGTTCCTAATTACAAAAAGAAGACCTATCCATGAAAAATTACTTATTTGCCTTTTAAAACTCCACCCTTGGCCCACACAGTTTCAGAACCTGCAGAGTTTGTAATCTCACTTAAAGAGTATGGGAGGGTCTCCAAAAATGAGGTCACACATGACAGAATTCAGGGCTAAAAACATGTGGACATGAAAAACTAACCAGATATTGACGCAGAGTCCCCAGCATGACTGATTTAGACAGGAAAACACACCCTGTGCTAAATAACGCTTTGTTGCAAGGGTCAGACTTAAAACTCAAGTTCTTTCTTATCCCAGATGTGATCAGAGCTTGTGAAAGGTGTTACCAGCCACCCCTTGCCACCCCCAGGAACAAAGAAGGAAAAAGAAGAAAAAAATCACCTGTTATTTAACTGCTTCTGCAAGCTGACACTATTCAGAGAGATCATAGAATGGTTTGGGTTGGAAAGGACCTTAAGATCATCTAGTTCCAACCCCTCCTGCCATGAGCAGGGACACCACACACTGAACTATGTCACCCAAGGCTCTGTCCAGCCTGGCCTTGAACACCGCCAGGGTTGGAGCATTCACAACTTCCTTGGGCAACCCATTCCAGTGCCTCACCACCCTCACTGTGAAGAACTTCTTCCTTATATCTAATCTAAACTTCCCCTGTTTAAGTTTAAACCCATTACCCCTTGTCCTACCACTAGAGTCTCTAATGAAGAGTCCCTCCCCAGCATCCTTATAGGCCCCCTTCAGATACTGGAAGGCTGCTATGAGGTCTCCACGCAGCCTTCTCTTCTGCAGGCTGAAGAGCCCCAACTTTCTCAGCCTGTCTTCATACGGGAGGTGCTCCAGTCCTCTTATCATCCTCGTGGCCCTCCTCTGGACCTGCTCCAACAGCTCCATGTCCTTTTTATGTTGAGGACACCAGAACTGGACATAATACTCCAAGTGAGGTCTCACAAGAGCAGAGTAGAGGGGCAGGATCACCTTCTTTGACCTGCTGGTCATGCTTCTTATGATGCAGCCCAGGATACGGTTGGCTTTCTGGGCTGCAAGCGCACACTGAAGCCGGCTCATGTCAAGCTTCTCATCAACCAACACCCCCAAGTCCTCCTCCACAGGGCTGGAGTCCTTCTCCACAGGGCTGTTCAGTTTAGTTGGTTTGGTTGTGGGTTTTTTGGCAGTTTTTTATGGGTTGATTTTTTTTTGGGGGGTGGGGTTTGGTTGGTTTTGGTTTTTTGTTGGTTTTTTTTTTTATAACCACAGTAATGTTTGCTGCAAACAATCTTATCTTCATTGAACTCCGACTGAGCTATTAGTCTTTGACAACGTTACACCAATAAGGAGTTCTTGCGTTTTAGGATGTGCAGTAGTGACGATGATAGCATCAGTATGGAAATCATAGCAGTGGGAGCAACACTAGGACAAACAGATTATGTGCTCACTGGAACTCCACTTCGATTCATTTGCAATTGGGTTTTTTTGTTTCTTTCCTGTAGACACTCTGCATCTGTCAGAACTATAAATGCCTTGTGAGCACATTAATTTAAAGTTTTCCTTGCAAGCCAAAGAGTATACTCATCCTTAACATTGAGTACATTTTCAGCTATTTAATTACCATCATTCTAACCACTATGAAATTACTCAGTGCCAACGTTGATTTTTTTTTTTTTTTTTAAGTGCTAGTAGCATAAAGTTTGGATAACCTACTTATTTATTACATTATACTACATGTCATCTTAAGCTTATTTGCCATATTATAAACATTCTACAGCAAATACTTACATATCCCACATCTGGTCTGTAACATGTATATGCTCCTAAAACACTATGCAGGAGATCATGGTAAGGACCACCCTGATGTAAGGGGAGGGAGGAAGAAGAATAGAAAAAAAAAAAAAGTTTTCAAAATCACTTTAAGCCAGTATTAAGCTTTTCAAGATGCAAGTGAGCCGGTGCTTTGTTCACATCTAGAATAATACCAGTTTTTACTCTAAGCATTACTGTGTATGTTTTTGAGATGTTAGAAGAAAAGTAAGACCAATAATCTGATGAAATAACTCAGTGGAAATCAGTACCTAATGAAAAATGAGGGTATCTGATACACATCCAGGGTTGGTTTTAATTTTACAGAGTGGATGTTTTAGTAGTACAAGTTACTGAATTACAACAGTGCATGCTACTATATATACATGTGCATGCATATATTGGATCTATATAAAAATCATAAATCCTGAAAGTGTGTACTAAAATGCATCAAGATTTCTGTGGAAGCAGTGAGAATATTCTCACTTTTGCACGTAATTTCATAAGCATTAACAGGAATTACATGCAATTTTTTCCAGGAGAGAAAGACTCATCAAGGCATCACCAAGTGTCCCAACTTTATTCTCATTAAAAAAATAAACAAAAATCAAGCCCAAACAACAAAACTCACAACATGCTGTTGTTATGTATAAAACCTAATTTTACTCTTCTTGTTTTATACAAACAACTCCTAGAAACTATTCCATATTTACCCAGCTAAAGGGGAAATCTTTTCTTTTCCTGTTTAACTATTCAGAAGTTTAAAATTGTCATAACTAGTTACAGAAATCTTACCTTCTGGAAAATATACAGGGATGGAAATGTGCGCGATATATCCAACTTAATCAGCTCCAGACTGGCCTCACGATCAGCAACAGACGCACCTGCATCTGCAAGCAAAACCAACACGTATTAAAACTGATAGATGAATTCTACAGACTTCAGAATAAAACTGCCACAGGCACATAAAGACTTTCAGGATCTAAGGGAAAAAAAGTTACCTAGTTCTAATTCTTGGAGTGCGTTTCTACAGTGCTATACTTCAAGAGCTAAAACTGTCCCCTGATGCTTCATACATGCCATTAACTCCAAAAAGTGAGGGAAACTATCAGTGATTACTGCCTATCTACTCACTCTGTTTCAAGTCATACACCTTTACACATTTCAGACTTAAAACCAGCAGGTTACCTTTTACTTCTGTGTAACACTCTATCCACCCCTGCATTCACTGGAATTTGAACTTTGCCCAGACCAGTCCTCAAATCCATCTTTTCTTTCTTGTATTCTCCTGGGACTTCAGCTACCAAGTCTGTTCAAGACCACAGTGTGAGAACAGTGCTCTTAATCTAAACATGATACAGTGAGATCTCACTTTTCAAATTTTAATTCCTGATCAGCTCATTTGGTGGTTCATTTCAACCAGGAATATTAAAATACGCTGTGTACACTAGAGGAAAAAAAGATAAATTACATCATTATCACAAGAAGCCCTAACTACTTCACCTGCAAAGTCAAGCATATTGCTTCCAAAGTCATGCACTTCTCATATCCCACTTAGACTGAAGGTATAAATACATATAAAATTCACTGAAGTTTCCAGAAGCGATCACAGTTATGATCTACAGAAGTTACATTACTTTGGAGTTCTCAATAGCTCTTATTTGACTTAGATTTGGTTGTTGTTTTTTTTTTGCATCCCTAGGCCAGGCATTCTTCAAATGATAGGAAATTCAGCTGGCCCTTGAGTTATCTTTGTTCTACTCTGTACATATGGACATGATGCAAATACTAGCAATAGCAAGGAGAAAAAATATGTGTGTAATTTGAGGAAAAGGCTCTTTCAGAGGACTTAAACCAGCCAAGACCCCTCTAGAAAGCAGAAGATCACAGGATTTGATGAATTGGCTAAACATCCTGCTCTACTGAAGCCTGGAAAGCAGTATTTCCTTGTAGTTCTCCTAAAACTACGATAGCTGCATTCAGGAGTGAGTGGGACTTTGAAAGAAAGAAGGCAATTACTATTACAGTGAAAGAACATACACAATCTAAAATAAAAAGTGCAAGAACTGCTGCTTAATCCTTCCTATTTCTTTCAAAAGGAACAGGGATTATATTGGACAATTTGGGAATATTTCACTTGGGACAGTATCCATTTAGAGCAATTCCCAAAGAAGTTGAGAATCTAGGATATGAAGCACAAGAAACTCTGGATTTATGCAAGAAATTAAGTTCTGTGAAGTCCAAAAGAGTTAAAGATATTTGAACATGAAAAACCCTCAAAACTACTCAAGTATGTTAAATGAGGCTAAAATAACTGACCATCCAAGACTTTGCTACTAAAGATTAGTAATAAGCACAGCAGATTAGTAATAAGCACTCTGCTCTCGTAAGACCTCACTTGGAGTATTGTGTCCAGTTCTGGTGTCCTCAACATAAAAAGGACACGGAGCTGTTGGAGCAAGTCCAGAGGAGGGCCACGAGGATGATAAGAGGACTGGAGCACCTCCCGTATGAAGACAGGCTGAGAAAGTTGGGGCTGTTCAGCCCGGAGAAGAGAAGACTGTGTGGAGACCTCATAGCAGCCTTCCAGTATCTGAAGGGGGCCTACAAGGATGCTGGGGAGGGACTCTTCATTAGGGACTCCAGTTGTAAGACAAGGAGGTAATGGCTTTAAACTTAAACAGGGGAAGTTTAGGTTAGATCTAAGGAAGAAGTTCTTCACAGTGCGGGTGGTGAGGCACTGGAATGGGTTGCCCAGGGAAGTTGTGAATGCTCCATCCCTGGAGGTGTTCAAGGCCAGGTTGGACAGAGCCTTGGGTGACATAGTTTAGAGGGAGGTGTCCCTGCTCATGGCAGGAGGGGTTGGAACTAGATGATCTTAAGGTCCTTTCCAACCCAAACCATTTTATGATTCTATGTTGGCTTGCTTTTCAATCAGAGATGAAAATCCTATTATTAAGTTTTCCCTCATTACTACATTTCCCAGAACATCTGACACAATAAAAACAGGCCCTTCCCCTTTTCATTCTCATCCAGAACCACTACCTTTCCAAAATAAACAAATTACCAAGCTTTCCCCATGGTCAGTCCACACCCGCACAACAAAAGAACAAATTGCCACCCCACAAACCAAGGGGGATTGCAAACACATTTTCCAAGCATAAGCACATTTACAGTCATGTACACACAGAATTTTTTTATAAACAGTTCATCTCAAGACAAGCTTTAGATAAGTCACAGGGCTTAGCCTAGGGAAGACACATGTAACTTACAAAATAGCCAGTTAGTCAGGACTGGCTATGGCAAGCACAAGCAAACAAAAAAAGAAAATACTCCTTGCATTACAATGCCATTTTCTTTCTCCAAAAAAGACACCAACTCAAAGAAAGTAATTTCATAGCAGCTGGTACTGACAGCATCACAGAAGACAGCATTTTATAAAAAGCAACTGTTAACAGCAGGAGGAGTTAACATTCATAACAAAGATATATCATCACCGATGCTATTTTTAACAGAAAGAATACCCACAGGAGACAGCAATATGCCAGTGATAAAACTCCATTATAATGTAAGTGTGCTAACCTCCCTGCTTAATAGAACTGGGAGGAAAGGCCATTTGGGCAACCAAGGAAACCCAAGTGGGATACAAAATGTGTAATTTCTTCATTCTTCACCTCTCAGTTTCACAGTCAAAAAAAAGAGACTAATTTTTTCCTTTCCCCAAATTATGGAAGCGATACCAATCTAAGAGACATTTAAGCAGAACTAAGCAATAACATTTACTATAATTTAGTTTCCCATTTTTTCTTTTTGTATTTCATCTAAAAGTTTCATGAAAGCGTAGTTCTGGTATTTCAGGAATTCAGAGGAAAACACATTCATTTGAAAATTAACTAGCACATGCAATATTTTAATGCGTCTTTTACTGATACAGTAAATACTGTTAAGCTCCTTGCTTACTGACTTTTTATAGAAAACAAACGTTTAAGTAGGGAATGACTGAGAGATCTTCTAGTAAGTGTTCCTAATGCTGCAATTGCGGCTGAACCTGAGAGACTTCTTGGGCTTGTAAAAGTGAATAGGAGTCTGTCTGGTATCCAGGATATCTCACCTTCAATGTCATTCTCAGTACTCGTCTCACTGAAGCTTTTCCATCGTTCCTTAGCTCTTGACAAGAAGATTTCATAAAGTTCTGTGAGAAAGCAAAACAAAACCAACAACAATAAAGGAACAGAGAAGTGAGAAAAGCACCCATCCAAAACAGAAGCACACTAAGTATTCTTGCCTTTGGTTCTGTTGCTTGGTTTCAGCTTAGCCACCAGGGGCAAGGGAAGAATCTATTAGATGGTTACCAGTAACCACTGGAGTACCACAATATACAGTTTAATAGTGCACACTGTGTTACGCTTTCTTCTGCAGTGATCATTCAATTACAAGAGGGAAATCATGTCTAATTCAGATTTTTATTTTTCTGAATAGGTTACAACACTTCCAAGTTCATCAAAATCATCAGTTATAAAATAAAGCAATTCCCCTTTCCAACTCTTTAGGAAAGCAAACCTACGAACTCTCAATTTTAGGTATAAAAACTAACTTCCTGGGAAGAGCACCACCTTAGTTTTTTAAAGACTAAAATACATCCATAAGCAGGTTCTGACCCTTGTTTCCATCCTTGTAACCAGAACATGTCTAATTGTACCTGAGGTTGCAAAATACAGTTCGTTAAAAGGCAAATATACCCTGATTTACTTTTCTTAACAAAAGGTTAAATTTTCCCTTTGAAACTAACCAACATAATTTTACATTACAATGTGATCTGTAAAGGCATACCAGGAGTGATATTTAATTCATTTCCCACAGCTAGACTCCAAACCTTCCCACGTACACGTGGGGGTAATCCCTGCCACCACAGCTCTCGAACTTTTCGGGTAGCACGCCTAAAATAGGGAAGCAGAGAAAGAAAAAACAAGTTAAAAAGCCACATATTGCACATCTTGTTTTCCAAAATCATTGGCTAACTTACAAGCAAAATAACATACTATTTCCAAAATCAATATTCAAGGATCTCTGCTTATGCTAAGGCCCCACTAAAGAAACCCCCAAAACATTAAGCTCCCAGAAAGCACATTTCATGTTGTGTTGTAATGACCTCTCACTATACCATGGCAAGAAAAACTGACTTCTTGACAAAATAAAAAGGAAAAGGAAATAAGGTGTGTGAGTCCTCTGCTTTTAGAACAGAAACAAGCCAGCCTTGCCTTGTTTGCCTTAGATACTGGGAAGAAATTCTTCACTATGCAGGTAGTGAGGCACTGGCACAGGTTACCCAAAGAAGCTGTGGCTGCCCCATCCCTGGCAGTGTTCAGGGGTTGCATGGGGCTTAGAGCAACCTGGTCTAGTGGAAGGTCTACAAGGATGCTGGGGAGGGACTCTTCGTTAGGGACTGCAGTGGTAGGACAAGGGGTAATGGCTTTAAACTTAAACAGGGGAACTTTAGATTAGATATAAGGAAGAAGTTCTTCACAGTGAGAGTGGTGAGGCACTGGAATGGGTTGCCCAAGGAAGTTGTGAATGCTCCAACCCTGGAGGTGTTCAAGGCCAGGTTGGACAGAGCCTTGGGTGACATAGTTTAGAGTGAGGTGTCCCTGCTCATGGCAGGGGGGTTGGAACTAGATGATCTTAAGGTCCCTTGCAACCCTAACTATTCTATGATTCTAAGGTGTCCTTGCCTGTGTCAGGGGGTTGGAACGAGATTATCTTTAAGGTCCCTTCCAACTCAAACCATTCTATGATTTACACAACAGAGCTTTACTTACATGCCTTCCCAGTTAGGTAGTATTTCATTGACCCAAATCACCATAGCGCTAGCGATATTCTCTTCTTGCTTGAAACGCTCTCTCATTATTTTTTTCCTTTTATGTGCTTCTTTAATTTCTGTTAGACATGTTAATAATTCCACATTAGTGTATATAATTTATTAGGTAAATAATTCAGCTATTATCTAATTATTTAGATGTCTGAAAGATCAAAGGTAAATTACAGTTGCTGGTACTATTTCTGTTGATTGTAGGTGTGTTTCTCAGGAACTATTTAATTTAAGCTCTCTTTAATTTATTCAAATACACAGCCATTTAGACAAGCAAAAATCTGGCTAGAAAACTCATGGCGCTTTTCTGCGTTACACAGAATGACTAAAAAGCAAGCACATCAAGCTGTCGTTCCTGTAATGAATTTCACACCACATTCTACCTAAACTTTACATATTTCTTAGACTAAGCAGCAAGAATTATTCATAAAATTATTACTCAAAAGTGTAAACCTACACCCATTTAGAAATTATTCAGATTTTACTGATATTTCCGTCTAGAAGGATTATGTATTTTCTATTCTGGAAATAGGACCTAAAGATCCAAGACAAAGCCACAATGCTGAACAAGAGAACAGTGTTCTGCCTTCTATTAAAAAGGATCATTTATAGATCCACTTATTAAAAAGGTTCAAAGAAGGACAGAACAGTGTTATCTTTACATCACTAAGAACCACTGTGAAACTGCAAGACATTTTCTGTTTATGCATGCGTTAGAAACATCAATGGAGTAAACATACCATCCCTGGTAAACTGATAATGGCTGATCAGCTTCATTAAGTTTTTACTGAAGCTTTGTGCGTGTAGCAGTAATTAATTTAATGAATACCAGGGCATACATACTAAAACGCTACACATGGCTGACCCTACAAAATTGCAGTCAGAGAACACGGACCACAGACCACAGCTTACAAGATGCACACCAAAAGAATGAAACAAGTTGTCAAATGCCTTGGATTTCTTAATCACATCTTTCAGAGTAAGCTGCCACAGATCCATAGAAGATCAATCAGTTCAGAAGCTTGTAACTCTGACAACAGCCCAAGTAAAACATTCAGAACAGATTCTTGAAAGAGCTTATTCCCTGAATACTAGGCACAAGACTACAAAAGTCCTTTCAGCAACTGTTCACAGATTGACACAGTACCAGATGCTACAGGTAAGTTTAATTTAAAAACCAGATCTAATGGGAGTAGGAAGGTTCACACAGGTACAGGTGGTTGGGAAAAAAAAAATCCCAACAAAGTTCTCCTCTGCCTTCACACTGAAATCAATGTCAGATTCCTGAAAAAAACCCCACATCTTCAAGCAGTCAGCTTCATTTTACTTTGGCTCTCAGTTGCAACTGCAGCAACACAGCTTGAAAAAAAGCATCCAAGTACCCAGAAAGTTTCTAGCCAATCACATTAAACAGTTAAAAAAACCAAAAATCATTAAGTTATTACTGAAAAATTATAGAAAAGGTTAAACTGACTTCTGAACCCAGGTTACATTCCCTGTGGTGGACTAAGAAAACAATTTGATAATTGAGTTCAGTTCTAAACTGTGTGCACATAGGTACCAGAGAATAACCTAGATATTAAACAAGGTTGTTCTTTACTGTACCTACTAGCCTGAGAACAGAGCCAGAAATTGCTCTATTTTTGCTGTACAGTTAAAAAGAATTGTAGTGGTTATCGGCAGTTAACATACCTCGTTTTTTTGCCTCTGCCACCATCTCATCATACTCTTGTCGGTGACGTAAAGCCTCTTCCACAGATTTGGCAGGAAGATTTCTGAAAACCAGTTGTTCATGAATTCAATACACACAAACGACATTTTGAACCATTTCAAAACAGGTTTAATTTGGCCTCTAAGATGAGCCTTGGGGCTGTCACACTACCAGTGCTTCAGTAAGAGCAGTAGAGAACTACTAGGTGTTTACTGCTTCTGTTTATTAGTTCTCCTATAGCTTCCCCCAAAGCAGGATTATTAGATTTGTTGAAAATCTGGAGTGGTGCTCAAATGAAGTTTGCAAGAAGTGACAAAAGGAAAACACTGATATTCCATAGTTATTTATTCCAATGCATTTCTGGACATGCGTATTTAATCATTAAATGTAACTGCATGTCGATACTCCATTTGTTCACATGAAATCTATGATGACATATTTTCAATTAAAGGTAAACATTTTTATTCATTATAGATAGTCCTTTGAAACTCCCACAAAAGAAGATACCAAGAGAAGAAAGGATAGGCCCACATTTATGTCAGAGCTAAAGCTAGGGAACCTTGCTGCAGTGCTGCAAGCTCACCATCTTAAAATGTGTTTGTTTTTTGGCTGCATAGCAATCCCCTAATTGCCAAACACACACTTCCTTTTGACCAAGCAGAGTTATTCCAAAACAAATCAGAACACAATGTTTGGTCTCAGCCTCTTACCCAATTTCAAAATAAACAAAAGACAGTTTTGTGATTTTAATACTAAAAAACCCCTAACCCAGAAAAGATCCCTTTATTAGCATTTCCAGTGACAGTGAGAACAGAATATATTTTCAATGATGAGATTGTGGCAAGATTACACACTTGAGGTGACACTCCAATTTTAAAGCATCACTTGTAAAAACATACTTATGTTTGTGAATTGTGGTATTTTGAAAGTACAGAAAACCATCAGCAGAACAGTTACTGCATATTTCACTCGAGGAAAAGAAGTAACGCATTTCAAAAACATAATCATAGCAATGAGTTTATATACCACTAGAGAGAACACTGAAGGAAACACTACACAATCTATTTTCCATTTCCTAATTGGAACTGATTAGAACAAACATTTACCTGTGCCACCACAAGCTCTCTCAAGGTACAATTTGGAAGGTATTTCTTAGGTTCCAAAAGAAATTCTTCCCACTCCTGCTGTTACATACCTAATTCTTTTGCTTTTTTTTTCCTTTTTAAAAAACCTCTTCTGGTAAGCTAAGCTCAGGTCTCCTGAAGTGAGAAATGCCACTGTTAAGTCATCCCAACTGGTCTAGAAAATTAAGTTTCCAGAATGGGGGAAGGAGAAGGGAGTGCACACTGAGATGGCAGTGAAGAAATACATAAAAATTCTTCAGGAATTTTCCTGATTAAGGATGCCCACTACACTGTCACAGGCAGCTGTGATACACAGTAGAAAATAGACTGGTAGCCTCAGGCTCTATTCTTAAGCCACAGTGAGAAAGAATTCCTCATATAGGCTATAATATACTTAAAAGGTTCTTCTGAAGGTATTTATTAGGCTATTATCAGAGACGGAATAATCCAATGATACTTTCATGAAGACTTGTGAAGTTTAGCTCATCGGAAGTATATCTAAAGCATTTGGTCATCATCAGTTCCACAGCAGGATCATACTTACGCTGGTCGATCCTCCAGAATCAAAGCAGTAGTTGAAAGTGGTTCAAATTCAATGTTTTTACGTCTTGCTGATGGGGGTGGAGGTTTATACATTCTTCCTGTCCGTGCTTCATATTCCTAAACAGTATTATTGATAAAAATTACATTTCAACTTTCAGCCACACTTCCAATTAGTAAGCATAATATAACTTAACACTTATTTAACATTATGTATTTTAACATTATTAAATAATTTAAGACACAAGGAGCTAACATTACAAGTTGAAACTCTTTATAGCAAAATAGTGTAGCTTTGCAGGACTGCTAAGATGAATGAGAAAGCACTTTCTTATACCAGCTTAATCTTTGATCTGTTCTATCTCAGTATGACTATGAGCATCCAAGGATTGGTTAGTTATGAAATCTTCTCAAACTAGCTAATGCACAACTATATTGAAGTAATACATGAAGCTGACAACATCAAAAAAAAAAAAAAGAATAAAAAAATCACAACACATCAAAACATCCACAACCAAAACAAACAACCCACACCAAACCAAAACACAAAAACCCCCAACAAAAAACCCAAACCACCACTACAAGCCACTAACCAAGAATGTGTGTCTCTTCCCATTCCATTCTTTGTGATTCTAACCACCCTTAAGGTCTGGTAACCCTCATGTTTTTGAAGCCTTTAGGAAGACCATCAAACTATCTAAAACTATATTCACTATACTCAGTGAAAACACAACAATATTACAAGTCTATTTCACATAATTTCTTTCTCAGAGGTTAACACATGCAATCTACTTAGAAAGAAATATTTAACAGCCTTTAATACACATTCTAAAGACAAAAGAATCCCATTCCTTTTTTCACAAATGCAACTCAACAAAACAGAAATATGAGAGTCTTTAGGAAAAGAGGCTAGACAGAGCCAGATAGAATCACAGAATCAGAGAATAGTTAGGGCTGGAAAGGACCTTAAGATCATCTAGTTCCAACCCCCCTGCCATGAGCAGGGACACCACACAATAAACTATGTCGACCAAGGCTCTGTCCAACCTGGCCTTGACAACCTCCA